CCAGCCTTTCTCAGGGCCAAATAAATTCACTGAGACTTCTGCCAGTTTTCTGTTCCCCTGTTTAGATCTACCTGAATGGCAGCCTTGCCCCTGAGCACAACTGCTCCCTCACAATGTGGTGCCATCTGCAGACTTGCTGAGTATGCATTCCATCACCTCCCCCGGGTCGGAGGTTCATCCCATTTCTTTCTTCCAGCTGTTAAAGAAAAGGACACAATTTTCTTCACAGTGGAAAAGGTGCAGTTGGCATTGTCCTCCCAGTATTTGTCCCAGGTGTTTGCCCCAGAGATCAGTTCTTCAGGCTTGTTGTTGAACTAATTGAACTTATACTGGATATTTGTGCTACCTCTTTTGGTCTCCTGAGGCAACAGAACTACATGGCTACGACTGGTATACAAATCCAAGCTTCTTTTTTATGGATTCTTTACCCTTGACTCCTGTTAAGCCTTTTTTCCATACCTTATTTGCCCATCCATCATTTAAAACTACTGTCCTGATTTTTTTATATTCTCATGACTCAGAAATTGCAAGTCACTCACTATTAGATGAGGATTTGTAATTTTGAAAATTAGACCATTTGGTGGTCGAGTTAAAAATAAAAATATACCAGTTGAATCAAAAGGCAAGAACAGAACCTGGTATTTGAAATTGTAAAGTACTGGGTTGTTTTGGAAACTTCCCACACAGACAGTGCCAACAAGCACAACAACTTTGTGCACCAAACACCTCAGGCAAATATAGTATATATCTATAAAAGAAGGATCAGAAACTGCAAGCCATTAAAATTCCTACTGATGACTAAAAAGATTTGTGTGCTGCAGTGCTGGTGGAGGGAGGAAGAGGATAGCAGGAAGTCAGAAAATATTTTTACGTACAATCGGAGGTTAAAAGTACATCAGCCCCAAAGGTTCCAGGGATGTTTTTCCCAGACACATTGGCCAAAAGTGTCTCTTCTGTCTTCTGGCAGATGGCCAAGCTGGAGGACTAAGAGCCTGTTCCCACAACTGCAGTTCCCTCAGCTCAAACAGCAGAACCACGTGTGTTGGTCCATTCAGCGTTTCCCTAATTTCTCTGCTTGACCACTTGTAACTAACTGTGAGCAATTAGCTTTCCCAGATTTCTTCCAAGTAAAACCTACAAGCTGTTTAGCCCCTCCTTTGCCTTTTAGCAACACAACAATCCCATAAAATGCAGGGCAAGCCCTGTGTGCACACATTCTGACTTGCACAGCGTTGTCACTGGGGCTGGGGGAGGAGCAGTGGCTTTGGGGATCTGACCAGGGCCATCCCCTGTGATTGCACTCACTGCCATCACTACCAGTTCCCAGACTGCACTGAAAAGATTCAGAACTTACCTGCTGCACTCTTTGATACCAATGTGAATTACAGTAACCCCAGCAGAGTACTATCAAAACTTAAAAATACATGTGAAGCAATAATCTGTATCATTCACCTCTCATCAAGGTACTCCCAAGCATCAAGGCTTCCAAGTTTTATACCTGTACTTAAATGTAAGCACAGTAAGGAACCCTACTGAAATCAGTGGAACATTAAGCACAGACAGAAATCTTTTCTGTAATAGTTTTCTTAATGTAATTCCTAATCCCTGCTGTCTACACACTTTTTCCATACCTATTAATGCCATTTTTTCACGCTGGCAAATGCCCTGTGACATTACACAGCAGTCATTATTTTGGAAGCTGGTGTCACAGAACAGCCAATCCTCCTCAAGAGCCCTTTCTCAGGTTATAAAGGAGCCATTTCAGACAGAAGCCTCACTTCTCTAAGGTTATAATTAAATACAAATTCAGGCAAGTAAGAGTTATAAAGTAGACAAACAACACTGCCAAGCCACCAGTTCCCTGAGCTCAAAGCTGCAACTCAGGGACCCTCAAGACAGTGCTAATCTTACCAATTCACGTCTGAACTGCAAAATCTCATCAAAACCAGTGTATACTGTAGGTTATGTATTTCTGTCTTATTATACAGCTCATCTAAGTTCCTGTTATACTGCAATCCCTAGATGTACAAGCAGTTTCATATGTGACTGGCTGTAAACACATCGAGCCAATCAGGGAAATAAAGATGTGCCACTTAAAAAGAGCATCCAGATTTGATTTAATTACAGAGCATGTGGGAACAAAATGGTTAAAAACTTGGGCAATTTATGTCATTAGTGAGTTAGTGTAAAACAGCCTCATGTAACTTAGGGCAGAAATCACTGATACAATTTGAAATCAAGTTACCTGCTCTGCCAGGTGACACACAGGCACAGGTCACCTGGGAGCTCCTGCAGGTACCTCCCGAAGGTGCCCTGGAGTGCTCTGGAGCAGGAGCTGGTTCATCTGCTGCCACCACACTCTCCACAGTCAGGGCATTTCCTGAGCCTCCTGCACAGCTGGGCAGTCCCTCTGAACACACTGCACAGGCAGGGAGGAGGAGTCCTGAACGGACTTATTTCTCCTTATGTTAATCACTGAAAAATTGGTTGCAGCCAACTGTCCTAATCCAAACACCCGTATTCACCTCTGCAGCAGAACAGACTCGAATGCAGTGAGTGGAGATAAATGTGTTGTTACAGGGGGGTGATGTCAGGCAAAGCTGAGTGAATTATTTCAGCTGTCTCTCTAGTAGTGAAGTGCCTTGAGACTGCAGCCTGCAAGGGGGATGCTGAGTACACAGATTCCCCCTGACAAGCTATTAGCTGGACAGGGGGCTTTTCTCCACAGAACTGACAGTCAACCAATTTCTTGTTTCCCATTTCCTTATTCGTTACTTGGTACAAAAAAAGGTTAAAAGGAACTGTTGTTTCCATATTTTGGTTTAAGTATTTACATCTAAGATGATACTGTTACTGATTTTGTAACTTGCTATGATTTTCTCCTTTTAAGCATTAAGAATATTTTTCTTGGCAGGAAAACTATGTAGCAAACAGACATTACCATTAGGAAAATACTTGCCCTTAACCTTTGTATTGTCACAGCCTTCAGCTTGTGGTTGTAAAAGAAAGAAGTGATATCCAAATGGAGTTTGGTATTTATTTTATGTAGTCCACATATGGAGCAAAATGGAAAATACATTAAGAAATAAATATAGATTGCTAAATTTTATCACTAGCATACTGAAATTAAGTGTCTATTTATCTGAACAGAATCTACACATTTATATAAAGGGATTGGATATCTCAGCTTGTGACTTCCCACATATTTTATTATGACAGCTTGAAGTTCATCACTACTTTTGCCAGAATTTAGGCAGAATTACTCCAAAATGCCTGGTAAAAGGATTAACATATGAACATTCAACCTAGGTTATACTTCTGAGCCATACTATAAAAATTAAAGAATGAAAGGAGCTAGCCATTTAATCCAGTCATAGTCAGTGTGACTTACTCCAAACCCCCCTAGGTTGTTTTTGCTTGCACTTCAAAATAAATTTTGAATTGTCAAAACTGTGCACTGTCGCAGTCCAGTGTTTACAGCACTAGGACTGGGACTGACTCGCTCAGTGTGGGAAAAAAAGTTCAAAAATTGCAGTTCCCTCCTCCCAGTAAAATGCCCAATTCATCCCAATCAGGTGCTTTACGTTTGGGAAAGAAATCATTCTTCTTCCTTCCTGGGCAAACTGCTCCCTGTGAGGGGAGGAGGTGTACTCAGAATCTTCCTGATCCAGCACTGAGGCCCAGGATGTTTCAGGCTCATATTTTCAAAACCTTCTGTACCTTTTGTGTGTACATTTGTCACATCCCCAAAGCAGTGACCCATTGTCAGAGACACTGATGTCACCTAATCTGACTCTGGAAATAGTTACTGAAATAAACAGAGGAAAAAAACCAGCACTGAAATGGCACAGAGATTTCAAGAAGAACTGCAAATATTTATGATCCAGATAAACACATCCTGATGGTAAAGAAAGAATCAACTACTGTTTCTCATGCTGGCAATATATATTTATTGTCATTTTGGAGATAAATTACCATGTGTATAACAGGACTTCAGACTAAAAACAAATTGGGATTATGAATGCTTAGCATATGCCAGTTGAAATTAAATGACTGAACATAAAGCTGACCTTTACAAGACCTTCAGTTGGTCTATTTTTGTGTGTGTCTCCCCTCAACCCCCTTCTTTTCTTTTCAAATTAAATCGGAACATCTTTCCCTCCTCCTTTATTTAAGCCTCAGAAAAATAAATGATCATCCAACTGCACCTTTTATTGGCTTTCCTAATAACCTGCTGCCAATAGAAGAACATTTATATTGTTAATTCTACCATTTCAGAAGGAAGCAAACCTTTACAGACGTGTTCTTCCTCCACTTTACCTGGCTATCGAGTCCAGCTTTAAAGACAAGACTTAAGCAGACTAAAGACTTGATATTAAACTATTGTGGTTACATTATTATGCTGCAAACCTTCAACACAAGCACTTTGCTGTTCCAGAACAAGCTGCATCAGTGCAAGGTCTGACAGTCTGTGCAAAAGAAGCCGCAGTGCTACAAATTCTTAAACACCTTTCCTCTCCCTCTCACTGTATCAACTAACAAATTCCTCCCATCAGTTTAACCAATCCCAAATACTGCCCCCCAAAAAGAGAAAGATGAAGACATTTTATGCTTTTGTAAGAAAAATAAACAACCACCCAGTCAAAAAAAAAAAAAAAAAAAAAAAGGAATCCTCCAACTCCAGTCCCCCGTCCAAAAAAAACCCCAGGTCAAAACTATTCCCCACCCTCCCCACCCCCCCTTCTAGCTTTTACAAGTCACCATTTAAACAAATGCATACAACTTACTGTACAAATACAAAGCTGCAGGCATTCAAGTTACAGAACATTCTGAAAATATTTCAAGCATAAAAAGTACACTTGATAATTGCAAAAATAAGGTTTCACTTTTTTAAAAAACATTTTGATCAGAGCTCAAGCAAAACAAGTTTTTAACTATTCCTACTTCAGCTCAACTCCCTAAGAACACCACCTGCAGAAGTTAAAAACAAAAAACTCGAATTTTTGATAATAAAGTAACCGACCATGTCTTTTAATGAGGAGAAATGGTATATACAACAATGACACAGACCTTAAGCATCAACAACATAGTTCAGCCAAAAGTAAGTCAGCAAGTGAAGTGATTCTTAGCATCACATGGCACTGATTACTAAGAACCTCAATCTGCCTGGAACAGATACTAAGTTAGACTGGTACAAATGGAAGGAAAGATGCATGACATCAAATAGGCTCAGCTTTTGTCACTGAACTTTTTTTAGGCTAACAGTTTCACTAGTGCAAGACCATTTGTTTACCCGATTAAATGAAAGCTCATAAATGTCACAATTTAAGAACACTCATACAAAACTATTTTTTCTTTTAAAAAAGTGCCACATAGCATACTTTTACTAAAAAAGTTACAAACTAATGGAAGACTGTCTGCCTCCATCTCTTGTCAATGAGGAAAGGCCAAAGTGATTCTTTGATCCCAGCTCGAAATGGTGTTCTCTGGCCTATCCCCAGCATCTCCAACTTGGAGCAGTCCAGCTGAGCATTCCTCGGGCGAAGAGCACCCACCACTGGACTGTCAGTAATCTAAAACAGAAACAGGAGATACAAAAACAACACATCAACAAGGAATCAGAAGTAACAGAAAAATACTCATACACATACATTAAAATTTTCCTTCATGGTTTTCTATGTAGGTATGTTCCTGTCCTCCCTTCTAACTATTTTCTGTGGGGGTTTTTTGTTTGGGATTTTTTTATTTGTTTGCTTGTTTTCTGGTTAACTTCATTTCAACAGATGTCAGGCAGGGCGGTGTGAAGTTAAATTTTTCTCACTCAGTTACTGCTGCTATTTGTGCTTTTCTATCTTATATTCCTATTTTCACTCTATGATTATAATCACAAGGTAAGAAATGCTCCAGAATGTTCACAGAACCATGTCTTGATCAATATACTAGAAGAGTAGATATGGACAGAAAAAATTCAGACTCAGTGTTCTCCACTGTTTTTCTTGCCATCTTCCAAGCCACATTTCAGTTCCAGTGTTACTAATTCCAAATCCTTGGAATTTATTTTGTATATAAATAACATCTTGTTTAAATGTTTTATTCTCACCACATTATCATTATGTCTTTAGTCTTACTTTCAAGTGTCAATAAAACTGCAGGACAGGCATTTTAAGCAAAGCAAAAACCCTTTGAAGTTCTTAAGTGCATGTATTCAGAAATAAATCTGGACATTGCAGAGTTTTTACAGATTCCTACCTGCAAGTTAATGTTCTGTCAATCTGTGAGCTTTTTTTAAGGTCAAAGATACAACAAAGATATAGATTTACTCCTGACTCAGGGGAACTATTCTGCAGAAATACCATTACATTGCAGATTGTGAAACTGGTGACTGACTGGGTAATTTTCCTAATTCAGCAGGTTAAAGCAGCTGTTGTTTTCCTGAGCTGGATTCCAGACAGCCCCCTCAGCAATACAGCTGCTGTGCCAGACAGGCACAACCCTCCTGAAGAGGCAGCTCACTGGCACAGCCAGTGTGAGACCAACTCCTTGTAATGACCAAGCACATCCACCTTTCTACAGGTCGAACAACACATCACTTACTGGTCTCAAGTGGCTGCTGGGGAGGTTGAAAGCATCTGCAATTGCACAGGCCATCTCATACTTAGTCATCTGCTCGTTGCCAGACCAGTGAAATGTTCCTTTTACTGATGGGTCCTAGAGAAAGAACAGGAAGCACAGATGAAAAGCAGCAGCCAGCTGGCCCTCAAGACTAATCCCTGGGCAAGAGCTGTGCAGAATAATCACCCAGCAAGACCCCATCCTGAAAGGCACCTCACTGGTGTTCTGGAAACTCAGTACTTTTCCAGAGAACACACATCTGGGGATTGAGACTGGAAACTGGTGTTACATGGATCTGACCTGACTGTTCACAAACAGCCTGTGTTCTGGAGAATGAACAGGAGGGAAAGGAGCAGCCCAGCTCCACCCTCCAACCAAGGTCAAAGAGCTGGGGAGGAGCAACTCAGCTGTTCTGTGCTATTTGCTTACTTGAAAACAAAGGCAAAAGGCACCACACACATTCTGAATGTCAAACTGCAAATCCTGCAGGAGTCCAATCAAACTGCACCTTATCCACCTTATGTGCATGGTCCGTGTTTTCCTTGTTACATGTATGAAAAAATAAAGGTGGTTGATTGTTGTTTCGTTCTGTTACCTTGCAAAGATGGTAATCTGAGGGTGCTGTGGTGAACAAACAATAAAGTATTTCAGTTCAGTGGCTTTGTTTTGCCACTTTAGTGTTCTTAACACAATAATCAAGGGCATCTTTGAGAATTACATCCAGCCACCATGGGGTTTTTTTAGTCCAAAATACCAATTTGTAAAAGGCACATCAGAATAAGTTAGGCATTTCCATTTCTCTCCTCTATACTAGAAGACACAGGACAACTTTCAGGTTTTGTCCCATCACTTCATTCACTTTTGTTTTAAAGACCACAATTCCCCCACAGTCACATAAAGGTACTGTAGTATTATAGCCAGTTCCTTCCTCCCTCCCAGCATTCCAGAAATGCAAAGAATAATTCAGGTTATGTGCAGTTCTCAGTTGTTCAGAAACAAAGCTGAGAACTCAAATTGTTTTTGCCTTGCAAAGGCTCATTTCTTGACACTCTTACCATCATTCTCTTCTCTGCCAGTTGTCTGCAAACAGCTGCTACATCCTTGACATTGGTAGGAAATCTCTGCTGCCAGTGGTCCATGTTGGCAGATTTATTACTGAACTGCACTTTATCAAACATAACAGTCACAGCACTTTCCTCCAGTCTTTCTACCTCTCCATACAAGACAGGAATCCTAAGTACTGCAGCTCCTAAAAGAAAGAATATTTTAAAAGCATTACCATTGGTATAGATAGGTACAAATGCTGCAGCACAACCTGAGAAGTAGTTTGGAAGTGTTAAGAAATAAGTTGATGATATTAAGCATCTACAAATCACAAATAAAAGGCAATTAGTTAATATGTTTACTCTCAGAGAATAATTTTAATTTATATCAAAGCAGTTTATAAATGCTAAGATGTATAAATTTACTTTCATTCATGCCATTGATTTCCAGGAAGTTAACAAGCTTTCATTAACAGCACAAAAGGGCCTGTTGTGCAAAGAGAAGGATATTTCATGATGGAATACTAGTCTATCTCAGTCATGAAGACTCAAAAAGGCTCTCAGGGGAATTCCAAGATGGCTATGACAAATGCACTAAAAGTAATAGCTTTGTTGAAAGAGAAAAAAAAATATCAGTCCTGAAATTTGAAGCTGATGTCACCAAACCATTGCAATTCTTAAAAGATTTGGAGGAAAATGCTATGGCTATTAGAGAGACAAACAGAAAAAGCTAACACAGAAGTTACTCTCACAGAAAAGTAAACCAGAATAAGTACTTAGACAAGAAAAACAAATAGAAAACCCAAATGACACTGATTTCCTGCTGCTCTAGAAACAATTATTTGGTCACTCTGCAAATATGTTCTTCCTCTCTTTAAATATGGGTTCAAACACCTGTTTTTTAATATCTTTAAAGTATTCATTGTTTGAGAAGACAACTGCCTTCCTTTTTTTCTCAGCTATCTGGGACAAGGAGAGCATTAACCTCATGACCAACTGCTCTGAAGACCTACTGAAACTTTGCAGCTTTCTAAATATAACCTGTATTCCCTCCTAACCAAATGTGAAAACACCCAAATTATTATTGGAGATTCTTGCATTGTACAACAGAATTTGACAGGGCAGTTCTTCGCCCAACCACACGTCTGACAGACTGAATTCAACCTACAAATTAGGGGTTGAAAAACAAATACACGTAAAATATTTATATTTGTATGAAGCAACAGAACTGGTATTTTCAAGGACCTTACTCAGCACCACCTCAAAACTCCTTCTGCTAATAATACCACCCTGCACCCCACTGCTGCCTGACACATCCTGCTCAAAAAGGCTACGAAACCAAACTGAATGTTGAGCTGGGGAAGGGTCTAAGCAAGATACCCACACGTACTTGAATTTGGGCAAGTCTTATCTTCATTACCAGTCTAGAAGAGGGAGCAAACAGCATCACAGTCAAATTCAGAGATGACATTTAATCAAGAGGTGGAGTGAATAACTTATCATTCAAATTTATTTTTTACTTAAATAGGACTTTTCCTATCCAAGTATTTTTTAGAAAGTCTCTTTCTTACTAGTGATGCCAAACCTATCTTACATAGTTTATATTTACTTACAGAAAGATCATCACACTAATTTATGTATTGCTCAATTCTCTCTGTTTGGGCAGCACAGAATCACAGTGCAAGTATCATACTGACATATCAGAAGACTTTTCTGCAAGTGTACTGAGATTATTTTCTTCAAATTCTTTGAAAAAATACAAGTGCTTCTTTCCTTATAATCTGTGACTGGAAACTGATGGCACACCAACTAGAAACAGCCAAACCTCTCTTTTAAACAAGAAAGAAGTCTTAAATTAAAGGCAATATGTTCAGTCCCAAGTTTTTTTTCCTTATTAAATAGAATTTTTTTAATTATGTGTGCATATTTTGAATGCCAAATTTTCATTAGGAAAAGATTAAAGCAATAAATTAAAAAATAAAATGAGTTGCTTAAAATCACAAATGTGTTACCAAGCCTTTAGGAAGTGTTACAAGCAGGAATCTGATGTGTGTGGTAAGCTAGGTGGGTAAAAACAAAATGGGTGGCCCGCTGGCTTCTGTAATGAAAGCAAAACCCAAAGAGTAACAAGAGAACATGTTGATTTGATCTGCTGGTTTTCCCTTTAAGTGAACATACACTGAGAACACTTGCAGTGCATCCCTCTAAATAACAGCAGCTGTATATTGAGTGAGGTATTTTACCTTTCCTTAGGAACAGCAGATTCACAGGAGAAAAAGGCTCACGAATGTCCATCAGCAGAGACAAGTAACACAAATGATGATGGGAACAGGTAAGAAATAAAGCTTTAGTCAACCTATAGGCAAGAGCAACCATTCACAAGCAAGGACTGACTGCTAATCCCATTCTTCTCTGGATCTCGTTTCCATGGTTTTGCAACTTCACCACTGACTTAGGAGTCTATTAAGCCAATCTACAACTAAGCAAAAATAGAAAGCCTCTATTAAAAACAGCTGAGTGTATTCTTACCTTCATTGTTTTCCAGGACTGCCTTTTCACCCTCCAGCTTGGTTTTACCATATAAATTCAGGGGATTTGGTACATCAGTCTCTTTATAAGGAGGGCTTGTGCCATCAAACACATAGTCTGTACTGATGTAGATCAGAAACGCTCCAACTCCAGCTGGGAAGAAAATGCTTATATATAGTTTATTTTAATTCATGCCTTGTTTGAAATGCCAACAAACTTCAAAACAAATCTCCCAAGGAGCTCATGTTCTCTCCCCATTCATTCCTACTGCTTTGTTGCTGATCCTTCACATATCTGTGCACAACACCCTTACAGAAAACGGATGGATGGCACATTGATGGCAGAAGTAACATTCAGCACTTAGAGTAACTTACTTGTATTTATGTTCCTGTATAAATAAATGCAGTATTTAAAAAAAAAAAAACAATCCATGACATGGTCTCCTTACCTGCCTCTTTTGCCAAGTTTGCTGAAGCAGCCACATTGAGCTGAGAAGCAGCATCTGGTTGACTTTCTACAACATCTGGCCTTCTTTCAGCAGCACAGTGCACTATAACATGAGGCTGGAAATTAAAGACTAATTTTAAACAAGAGATTGCAGTTGCACCCTAACTGTAGTGATGATGCCCCTCAGGCAAAAGTGAAGTAATAAAAGTAGCAGTGTTACTTTTAATCACGGCATTCTGAGGAGCATGTGCTCCCTGGGGAGTACAATACAACCTTGCTGCCTCAAGATACCAAAAAAATTTATCATTAGTTTTGCAATTGTGATCTTCAGCAGCTTCAATTTTACAGTGAGATTGAAGTTGTTGGTTTTGCCTTTTTAACTCTGTATAATAAAATATATTAATACAAATATGTATTTCTCACATGCACAAGGGTGTTAAAAATTTTTAGATAAGCCATTTACACACAGTTTATTTAACATATGAAGATTATTAAGGAGATATCAAAAGCCATTTTATAGAATTGCAGGTTTTATATATTCCCTTTTCCAGGTGAACTGAAAAAAACAGTGAACTCCTCACGGCACTGCAGGCTACACACAGTTCCTGCTGTTGTGTTCAGGTGTTCTTGCACTTCAGCAGAACTGTGTATGGACACATTACTGTGTCAATAACTCACATTTCTCTTGTCCTTTGTTCTGCCTTGTACAGCTGGGCCTGCAGCCTGTCGAGGTGAGGACAGCACAGGTCAGAGCTGTCTGTCCCTACAGAGCAAACCTACTCTGGGTGGGGCACAACACACATTTGTCAGAGCTCTGCCCAAGCATCAGCCCCACTGCAGTCCCAGAGCTCAGCAGCACCATCCACTGACTACTATACAAAGTACCCCATCCATCCACTTCATACTCCACAAACTTACCTGAAAGTCATGGATAATGTCATGAACTGCAATAGAGTCCAGAAGATTAATCTGTTCAAATCTGGGCTGAGCTCTCCTGTATCCGCAGCCAACTGCATTCCAGTTATTTTCACGGAATTCTTTAAACACAGCTCTGCCAAGAAGTCCTGTTGCACCCGTGATCAAAACTCGCCTACTGGGAATGTCAACATCTTCCTAGGAAAATGACAACAGCAAAAGTTTTGTTTCTACTGCAATTTTCTACTGTTTTCTCTTTAGAAGTATGCGAGGCCACAGTCAGAGCTACTCTGTTAAATAAGCTTTTCCTGAGTCTTTTGGAGTGTCATGGAACACAAACATCTGGGAGCACCAATACTGCAGCCAGATTAATATTTAAACATACACTTGAAGATAATGAAAACAAAACTTTAGCAGGAAAGTCATTTACAACAAACCAAACCACTAGTGAAGACATAATTTTAAGTTCATTCAAAAGCTGACAGCTTTGTGCAGTCTGAAAGGAGGGAAACAACTTCTTTAGGAAATGGACCCAAAAGATGTAAGATTTAGGGTCCGAATGGTACAACAAATAATTTTGGATAGATTATGCCTGTTAGAAGCTTCAGCAATACAACATAAATCACTGTAAGAACTAAAGACTTGAATTTTATTATTAAATAGAACAGTAATTGATTGTTACTCAACAAAATAGTCTAATAAGTAAAACCAACACACAGATCTCTCGCCAGTTTTAAAAATGCACCTGAAAATGATTTGACAATTTCAACTCTCAATCTACACAACAGACTAAAGCTGTACTTCAGCTCCCTGTTTTGGTACTGGGACAACTTTGTACATCAGCACACACAAACTTTATCCACCTCTCAGTAGAACATCAAGTTTTAAAGGCAGCAAACACAAGATCCGTGTCTGTCTATATAATCTTTATTTTCCTTTCATGCTTTGCCTCTGCATCTACCATAAACAACAGCGACATGAAAACTAAAACACAACACAAAAATGAAAGCATATGCTTACCGTGCCAGTACAGAAAAAAACTTTGGGTGTGCAGAACCCACAAACCTTGGATTTCCTGACTACTTTACACAAAAGGACAATTTGTGATAACTGACTGTAATTTTGTACATCACAGAATACTTCTGCTATGCAATCCCAACAGCTCAAGAATTTCTGAGCATTGTACCAGATTGCTACTTTTTGATTGCAGCTCAGGAAACCACAGCAATTGCTTCCAAATTACTGTTTTTCACCCTTGAAGTTACAAAGCTTTTGTTCCACGAGGGTATATGCAGAGCTCTGTGCATGACAGAAACAGCCTATCCCAAAACAATTGCTTCCAGTTCCCAGCACTGCGCGTGCATTTGTCTCATCTCTAAATCTGCAGGTGAAGGATGACTTATTCCCATCAGTACTGGATGAAAATTAATAATTTATATCTGGACAGTTGCCTGAAAATGAAAGACTACAGCAAGTCTGTCAATTCAAAAATTTTGTTTGTTGATGGCCTTAAATTTTACCTCAGAACACAAGTTTATTTACATTTTTAAGGCTATCCATGTTTCTCTGAAGAGCATGAGTGAGAATGTGCAACTGCTGTTTCCTCCTGTACTTTTTCCCTTTGCAAAATCTGCCCAGAGTGTCACAGGACATTTGATCAGTGTTTCTGCAGCCAGAGCTGCCCCAACAAACATCCAAGACTCGCTGCAGAACAGAGTCAAATGGTTCTCTAAAAATGTCATCGAACATCTTTAATAAGAAGGAAGTGATCAACACAAAACCAAGTGTCATTCGTAAAATCTGACATTTCTAAGCCTCATTCATCTAAGTTTGTTTATTCTGCACAGCATAAAGAGGATGTTACATCAGCAGCACAGCTTGAACTGGACACAAACACAGCTTTCACCAAGCACAGCTCGCATCCTGTTGCCCTTGTCTGCAAGATTCATTGATTTTAGTCACTTGTTTCTGAAAAAGCAAGATAAAGGGTAGATGTTTCCCATAAATCCAACACAAACCAACTAACAGTTTGAACCTATTTCACCTTGCCAGAAGTTACACATTCTGGTGATAACAAAACCTGCACAGATGAACTCTTTCCCTAGAAGCTCCTTCACAGAACATCTCCCAGCTGCAGCAGCATTTCTGTCTCAGAACCACAGAACTTCTGAGCCCAAAGGCCCTCTGAAGCTCCATGTTCCCACCACTCCTGTTTGCAGGTGTTCTCACAGATGTGCAGAAGGTGCTGCTGTTGTCCACACACAGACAAGAGAGCTACAAAGCACGCTTCGATTTTGAAGTAATTTTATATACTGCTACTGTACATAAAGAATAGAAGACATTCTAGAACTCAAATATTATCCTTCTGCCTGCAAGTTTTATAGGTGTAAATGCAGGTCCCTGTTCAGGCAAGCCTTGTGCTAACAAATCCTTCACATGTGTTTCTCAACTAAGCCACAACCACATTCCAATCATCAAGCACACAAAAACTTGTCTTCACAAACCATTTTGAATAACACCACTGATACGAAGAATTTTGAGCTTCATAATGAAGCATCCAATTTAATTCTGTTTTATCTGATGTCAACATTAACTAAGAATTAACACAGTAAAAAACGAATTGTGCTTGGCTGTCTCACTCACATAAAAATAAACAAGTGGCAACATCGTAAGATTAAAAAATAACACTTATGAGACATCAGATTACTCTGCAGACGCTAACAAAATACAAAACAGGAGTGTAATTTAAAAAGAGAGCAAAACGTGATGCGTTTCGAGGTGAAAAACAGAAACAAGTACTCTTTGAGCTTCGTATTTTTATTTAGAAAATCACGACGAACTCAAAACACCAACTTTAAGGAATGGCCAGCACAAAGCGGAAGCTCCGACTGTAACACACATTTGCAACATGATACGGCGATACACAAGTCCCTGCAGGGAAGGCACGGGGAGACCGAGCTCCGGCTCAGCTCTGACATAACCCTGCAGCGACAGAAAGCAAAAGGCAAACCCTCGGGCTTTGCAAAATTCCGCCTGACAGCCGAACCCTCAGCCGCGCTCCCAGAGGCTGCTCCGCGTTCCCCTCGCCCATCAAACCCCCATTGCTGCGGCAGCTCACGGACACCTGTGGGGATCACGGGCACCGCCCGGGACAGAGGGCAAGGCCGAGCCTCCCAAAGGAAACCCGTGTGGAATCCCGTGTGGAATCTCTGCACGGGCTCCCCATGGCACAGAGACCCTCCTTGTGCCGTGACCCCTCAGCGCCCTGTGGCCACTCCGGTCCGACCCCGCGAGCAGACACCGCGCCGCTCGGCCCCCGGAGCCCCCGGCAGCGCTCCCCGCGCTCCCTCAGGCGCAGCCCCCGCGGCCGCGGCCCCCCCCCCGGGCCTCCCTCAGCGCTCGGGGCCTGTGCGCCCGGCCCCGCGCCGCGCTCCCGCAGAGACCCGCCCCCCGAGCTCACCTCCAGAGCTCCCTGCAGAGACTCACCTCGACGAGCTCGCAGCGGCCCGGCGCGAAGCGGATCCGGAGCTCCTTCTCCCGGCCGACCATGGCCGGGCCTGCTGCCGCTCCCGCTCCGCGCCCGGCGCTGCGCGACGGACGGGCCGACAGGGGGCGCCCGAGCCCGGCCGCGACGCACGCGCCCCCCGCCGCCGCGCGCTCATTGGCTGAGGAGCGCGGAGGGGGCGGGACCACCGTGGAGGGGGCGGGGCTTTGTAATCCCGGAGTGACAAGCCCGATCCCACGTGGAGCGGTGGGAAAGCGGCTGTTCCCAACACCGAGGAAAAGCGCTTTTCTTTTAAATTCAAAATACACGGCCCAGGGCACGCGCTCTAGCAGGGACACAGCGGCAGTCCCGTCCCCTCTCCACAAAACCTAAAAGCATACTGGCTTTTAGGAAACCAGCCCCAATGCCCATTACTGGTGTTGATTTTCTCGGGCTGGAGAAGGAAGCGGGAGTGAGCCGGAGCGTACCCGGGCTGCCTCAGCTGCAGGCTGGCCCCTGTTTTCATCGTGTTTATGGTGCTTCGGACAGTAATTAAAGTTACTGCAGTAAGCACCTGACTGACTTTTAGCATTACCAAGTTCACCTACTGAAACTGTGCTCTTTCCATTGTGATCTTTCACGTGAGGAACTTTATAATTGGACCAAAATATCTTATTTGGCTGCTAGATAAAGAGAAATCAGAAAAATCCATCAGAATTTAATAGAATCATGCTAAAATTTAATAGAATTATATTGTAAATGGCCTTTACTTATGACAAACAACTAATATTCACAGGACAAAAAAGTGAGATATATATATATATATATATAAACTACTTCAGGCAGTTTCTGCCTTCTTGTAATGCAGGTGCCCTTTTCTTCCTTGTAACAAGCTACTGACATTTATTTCTCTTTCATTAAACTTAGAACTCTGTTTTAAAATAACAGTAACTCGTAACTTCAAATCCAGAAGGAAAAATCTACAAAGAAATGCTGAACTATCCAACAGCTCTGAGGTAACAACTCCCAGCACATCTAATGCCACACCACTTCCTCCAACACAGACTGGAAGAGGCTCCTGTGCATCTTAACATAAACCATGACATGGAAATGAAAATTTTGCCTTCCAGGCTTTGAGCAAGAGAAAAATAGAGAAAGCATGAACACTGAAGCTTCGAGCTAGAACCAATCATCAGCCTGTAAAATACCTTCACTTTTTTGTCGCCAGCATAAATTACAAAAACTATGTATAATTTGTTATCCTCTTTACATAATATAATCTATTTTTTCCTCATATAATCTATTTTTTCCTCAAATATTTACCTGGATTCAGTGGTGTTCTACCTATACTTCCAATTTATTTACTGTCATTACATTCACTTTGTGACACACTGATTGCATGGAACAGTTCAACAAAAATTGTATTGTTGTCTGTATCACAGTCATTCAAGTACAGTGCACCCCTGGATGACTCAATGGACCGTTCATTAAATTAACATTTCAGACTGTAATTCACAGAGACTGAAGAATAATTAAGTCTCTCTCTCTCCCCTCCTGTTTCTTTCCTTAGATTCTGTAATCAAAGTGTGGCAGCATCATATTAATGCAAATATGCAGAGCCTTACCTGCTCCATTCCCACCAGCATTTCAGGCATTGCCTCAAACTCCAGAGGGAATCACCAGCCTAGGAAATTATTGCAGTTCACCTGTGCTCCTGCCCCTTTATGGGCTGTGCCTGCACAGAGCACATACACTGGAAGCAGCAATGGCTCTGCTGACCTTTGAAACCCAAACACTAATCCAAGCCCTACATCACGTGTGGCTCAGAATCCTGTTAAGCTTTTGGTCTGGTCCCAGCAGTACCATTTAAGCAGCTCAGTGTGAGCCTAAACTTTTACTTCATAAGAGGCAGCAGGAGCAGGCACAGCCACTGTGTGTACAAAATTCATTCAAAGCACTGGCACTGAGTCTTACACAGTTTTCCTTTTATAGGAAACAGGAGGAGGGCTCTAATTAGGTCAGGCAGGTTGAGGATTCTAACAGCTCTTCATTTTACATTTCAACCAAGCACAGCCCAGCTCTTGCTACAATACAGCATGATGAATCAGAGAAATAACTTCTTGATAAATTATGGATTTTGCAATTAAAATGAAAAAAAAAGTTCCACAACATGAAAGTAATGAATTCGTGCAGTGAATACTTAAGTCAGTTGAGCTACCAATGTCAAGGTTTCAGTTTTTAAGACTTGATTTGATATGTGCACTTCAGTCAAACTGCTAAATTGAATACCAAGTCTTCTCTTAATTCGAACACCTGAAGCTAATCCTCATCCTTAGTCTTCAGCATATCAAGTAATCCAGCAAATACATGAAGATGACATCAACAAATAACATTAGCAATTTCTTTCCTTGGCCTTAATGTGCATTTTTTTGTATATCCCTTCCTAGGAATTATCAAGTCTCTGCCAACTCATAATGTCAGAATAAATGGCAACATATTCTACATGCTAAGTTTTGGGTACTGCCTCTCTGCAGCTCCTCTGTGCAGGGTATCAGCAGATACAATAACAAGAACACCAAGTTCCACCTTTCAGTTAAGTTCAGTATTTACTTCTGTATTAAGAGAAACTCACAGGAAATGAGAGGATAAGAGAATTGCAGGTTGTATGTATTGCACAGTTCAACTAAATAATTTCCCTAAGACCAGGGAACATGTAGTTTTTGAGGTAAGACTGACATTGGGCTGTGTTATGAAAACAAGACTAGAACAAAGAACATCAGGTGAGTCACACTGCTTTTTTTGGCTTTTATCCCTGGCTTGTGAAGGAAGTAGACAGATTCTTTATTTCAAAAATTTTATTGTGCTAAAACATGCTTAATTTTAGATGCAGTTAAACAGATTCTTTTCTCCTTGCCAAAACTGAAGTCTGTACAGTGCCTGCACATACAGTGTGTATCCTTCCACACAAATGAGACAAGTTCTGTTGTTATTCCCTGTCACTAACACTGATCAATTCCAACAGTTGCCCACAAAGACTTGATGGCAGTTTAGGAGTCCAGTGAGCACAGCATTCCTAACAGACATTGCTCTTAAGACACTATTCTTACCCACAGTAAGGGAAATGCAATCAATTTGACTTTGACCTGAAATCTTCTTCTGAAGATTTCAACAGCTGCAGTACCTCCCCCAGGATTTAAATTAGCTTGTCTTGAATACAGATCCCATAGAGAATATCAAAAGTAAGTGTACAGTCCCATTTCCTGCATTGGTTCTATACCTATGTAGGCCACAGAAGGAAAGGGGTCTCTCGGCAGTATGGCTGTATTTGGTATTGAAGCAACCATAGACAACAAAAATAATTTAACATAAAATTGTATACATGAGATAGATGCAAAAAACCCACAAAAGCTTTCAGGAAATCGGATTTGATTTGCAATCTTATTTGCCAGTGCTTATTCACCTTTTCCCAACTTAAGCTGCTTTGTCCAAAACAAACTAAGCAGATTCAGCATATCAAAGAAGTGAACAGGGAACACTTTGGAGTTCCCAAGTGCAATGATGTTAACAGGAGTCAGGAACGTGTGGCTTCTCAACAGAAGTATAGCCAAGCATAGTTTTTATAAAAATGTATAATCTTAGATCATTTCTCTAATGCTCCTACTAATTTATATTATATACAGCATCCAAGTTCACCTTGAAGCAGTCTGTTGCAGTCTTCTGTAGCATACAAATTCATTGGTACTTTATATTTTTCCTTAATACCAAGAAGGTATTAAATTTGGTTTTTATTACCTGCAATGGAAAAATGTCACTAAGTTTGTGTTTTTCACTAGTGCTCCCACCACATCAAGTAGTTACTTGTCTGCTGGAGGGGGTAGAAGGCACTACACTCCATCTAACAGTGAAACCAGGACTTCAGACCCCAGAACAGATTCTCTAATGAAGGTCTAGTTCCCACACTCTCTCCCACCCTGCTTGCCTTAGTGCACCCCTAGGCTCTCTCCATGTTTTCCTCCACTCCACATTTATCTCCAGGCCTTTTGCAGCTTTCCTTGACACCTACAGTAGTCTAAGGTCCTGACAAGTAGCAGCTAAAGAACCAAGGCACAGAACTCTGCCTGAGCCACTTGTAACCCACCCCCATGCAGGGACACTGCCTGTCCCCTCATCAGCTGTACCATGTGAGCTGGGTGACAGGAGGAAAATGGCTCTGCTGTCTGACCCAGCACAGCACCTGCTCAGGTCAGGAAGGACCTGGCCTAGAAAGCACAAAAGCAAACTGCATACTGGGAGTGCCCCACTGATGCAGCCTCCAACATCTGCTGTGAAACACGGGAGATGCCATTCTCCTTCCTTCCCTACATGTAGCAGACTGTGTAAGGTTCTCATACCTTCTTTGGATAAGTACAAAGACTTGGGTACATTAATATCTAAACCTACCTTCTTTAAGAGGGGTTTTTGGAGGAATATTCTCCTTGCTATCATACTGGAAAGCTTTGGAAGGAGCCAAATGCTTGATGCCCTGGACTGCACACAGCTGCTCCTGGAGGTCTCTGTTGGTTTGCTTTTCCTTGGATAGCAGCACACGCAGTTTGGAGACATCCTACAGAAAACATCATACTTGGAAGTTAGATTAAGAACAGGAGAAGAGCTTGCTTCATTATTTACTTAAGAGCCATTTTGCCTAAAGATAAACATACACACAATTACCGGTGTCATTAAAACCCCAGCCCAAACAGAGGTGCAGAGAAACCAGCAGCACTGTATAGTTGCTGTGCAACACCATAAAGCACTACATTAGTCTGAAACTTTCAGCTGCTGCTTTCAGCAGCTAGTTTACTAAGTTTAGAACCTCCAAAGGAGGTAAGAAAAGCCAACTAAACTAAGAATAGGAGTAGTTATTTGCACACTGCTGATCCCTCTGTGTGTCATAAACTCAGTCAAAAATAAAACAGGTTCTCTTGGCGTTTCTGGAGGCTGGTGGTTTGTTCCAATCTGGTTCATGCAGGGAATTTAAGAATCATAGAAAGTAAGGAGCTTGCAGGATTCATCTATAAATATTTAGAGTAATAAAAGGCATCAAGCACATTAATAACTTGCAGCTTTGTAATTTTT